AAGTCAGGGCATGGCCAACTCACAGATCAAACCCTGAAACAACCTCTGGGCTGATCTAAGTCAGGGCATGGCCAACTCACAGATCAAACCCTGAAACAACCTCTGGGCTGATCTAAGTCAGGGCATGGCTAACTCACAGATAGAACCCTGGAACAATCTTTAGGCTGATCAAAGTCAAGACATTATCTGATGACTAGTAATAATTATTTTTAGGGATGAATTACAGTACAGTACAATGCATTTTTTCTTCTACAGCCAAGGCAAATTTTAGATTTTGTTACACCAAAAAAAAAAACATATTATATATTATTATAATAATATATAATATCAAATAGTTGAGGTGAAATAAAGTAAAGAAATTTTAGCTGACCTTTGAAAAGTAGTATTTCTTTGGCCCTGTGTACTTAGATTTTGGGATTTAATCAGTTTTAGCGTTTTTTCCCTCCACCGTACACAGGGCGAAAGATGTACTACTTTTCAAAGGTCAGCTAAGATTTCTTTACWTTATTTCACATTTTGACAATTTTATTGAGGTTTTTAAGCATCGTCATAAATTTTCTTATAACATGACACCACAGAAACCTAGCTGTGTTTGATGTAGTAAAAATCTAAAATTGCATTGCCAGCATGAAACATTCTTGAATTATATCAGAGACCTCAAAATCTGCATTACAAGAGTTTTTGATCAACGTTAGTCCACATCAGAGTACTTGATTTTAAAATCAATCTTTTCTAATTTTGGTTAATCTTACTCTCATTCCAATCATTAAGTGCATCGTAGTATCAATCTTCTCATCTTATCCCTCTGTTTTGTCATTTTTGCAAGCTATATCTATGTATTCCTAACTTTACCAGGAACATAATTCTTGTCAATAATTGGATCTTGGAGGAACATGTGCAGACATTTTTCATTTTGTGCTAAGGGATGGCCTGCAATCCTGCAAAACAAAGTTAAGATGCATATCAAGCTTTACTCAGACTATATGTTAGTGTCGAAGTTGGAGCAGAGAAAGCTCACTTCACATTATGGTATGGTCAATTCCAAATAAATTGGATTGTGCGGAAAAGCGGCAAACAAAAAGGCTGTCGTTTTATAACGAATTCGACAGGAACATTTTTGAAGACGAAAAGAAAAGAAAAAAAAGACAAGTAAAAAAAAAGCTGTGCCTCCCAGACAACAGACACAGGGAAATACAACACTCAATGTTTGTTATGAAATATCAGCTTTGTCCTTATCCAATATTTCCCCCTGAGGGGAAACACATGGACTGGTATCGAAATTCAGATTGGGTTCCATTCAAGTTCCACTATTTTACAGCCTTGCTTTATGATTTAAATTCAGAGAGAGGAAGAGAGCACAACATAAGAAAAGGTAAAGCAAACATATTATGGGCTATTTACTTGTTAATAAATGATTCAAGTCCTTGTCGTCGTTCTTCTATGAATTCATCTTCAAAGATTCCTGTTAAAGAAAAACGAGTAACTTACATATGATGGAGTTTTATTACACGGCCGACATGTTCATTCTCATGAAAATTAAAAGCTTCATTTCAATTGCCCTCATAAATTTATTCTCAAGCACTTGAATGAGAAGGCAGGTGTGGTTAAATCTATTGTCCGCAACATAGCTGCTACGAGAAAATGACTGAGTTACGACATGCCCTCTGATTGGTTTACAGCCATTCTCAATCACAAGCGCCCTGTAGCAATTTTTTGTCGTGACGAAGGTTTTGGTGGTTGTCAATCATAAGGCGTTTCCATAACAATGTCGGAAAACACAAAGCTATAAGGGCTCATGCCTATGGAATGTCATGGAAATGCCTTGATTGACGTCAACCAAAAGCTTCTTTGTTGTGATAGAAACAATCCCTAAAGCGGCAAGTGTGATTGAGAATGGCTGTAAATGCCAAAGTGTATCTAAAATGCTCATATTGATTGATTTCATACTTTCTACTCTAACTACGAATGCTTACCGTCATCACTTCTGAATGGCAGTTGTAATTTGAGAGCTTTTCCTGGTAATGGTGGCACAATTATCTACAAAAGATAACAACAACAGTGATATTACGATGAATAAAGTTTAAAAGAATACTTGTACAGTAGGATTGCCTTCAGGTGTCTATGCTCTCTTGGTACCACTGGGCTAACGATAATAACTGGTCAGGGTTGGTCATTGGCCAGACATGAGGACTGGTCAAATAAACATGTGTCTTGCCATTGTAAATAGAAAAAGTGACTCCTCTAAGTGCACTTGGCCAGACAACTGCCAATTTTGGATAGAAAAAACTGGCTATTACTTCTTCACCTGGTACAACTGTTTACTACGAGGTAGATGGATATTATCCCATGTTAAGAGCTTGRTATCGTTTTTATTAACAACTTTTTCGTATTATATCATGAACGAGTGAGTCCTCAAGCGAGTGAGCAATATAATACCAAAAACAAGTGAATTAAAACAATATCAGGCTTTTAACATGTGATTATTTGTTTATCATACATTTAGGGTCGATTTTGATTGGTCAAAACTAAAATATGTCATAAGATCTTATTGGACAGTTTTACCGTGAAGTGATATCGTATCGATTTAGAAACATTTACACCCCAAAACCAGAGTTACAGAATAGCATGCAAAACTTTATTTTTAAATTTACACTAAATACACGTAAAAACATTTATTAAACTCATTAATAATTCATGAGGAAAACACAACAGAAATCACAACCGTGAAGAGTGTTGTAAATCTGATACAAAACTGTGTTCATTTGCATAAACTTTAAGTTGGATTTTCTTGGCCAAATTCACTTTAATTTTGAAAATTTTAGTGAAACACAAAGAAACTAACCTAGACGTTTGATAAGTCATGTATCAGATATACAACCACGAGGCGTAGCCTACTGTATATATTACATACAGTACTGTATCTATTAATAGATAATAGATATCCATTTCATACCTTACTATCCCGTTCCAGTTCCGAGCGCAGCCACTCAAAGTCACTGTATCTCCTTCGAACATTTGACTCCTTTAACTTGAATACTGGTAAATTTGTCTATCAAAATATCAATTGAATAATAATGTTAATAATAACTTAAGAGGAGAAGAAATGTGACCATTTTACTGCTATAACACCCACCGCAATGCCATATTATGCCCAATGCCATATGCCATGTGATTGAATTCGATTGCATTTGGCAATCAAAGAAATTGAATGCCAAAAAAATGTGAATTTCATTGCATGATTAAAATCAAAGATAATAGAATGTACAATCGAACGTAATTGAATGTTTGATTGTGTCTCATTGATGCCTATTGATCCTAAAATACTTAATTTTCCCTTTTCTTATATTTATACTTTTAGGTTCTTAATCACAGATTTTAGTATAGATTTTATTTAGATTTTCATAGATTTTCACCGGTTCATACCAGCTGTTCTATCATGTCCAGCTGATTGGTTTTTTAAAATCAGGGTAAATAAAGATATTGTTATTATTATTATTATTATTACAATCGAACGTACATGTAATTGGTTCCAATTTTTTGTGAATTCAATTTCATTCGATTGCCAAATGCAATCGAATCCAATCATTCAATTGGATTCAATTGGAGAGTGGAATCCATTGAATTTGAAGGAATCAATTGTTTGATTTCTTTCGATTGATTACAGTGGGCATATGACATCTGCAGTAGGCTGTCGAATAAGTAGTATAATATGCTACGAGTACTGAAATTCCTTGCACGCTTTCTTTCATCAGATATCAACTGTCTAACTAGCCAGTCTTCTGAGCCAATAGAAACATTAGAATATAAATGCAATATTATTATTATAGAATAAGAAAGAAAATTTGCAAAACAATTCTGAAAGTTTTAAACCTATTACTCCATCATGTAATAACCTTATTGGGTTAATTTAATTTCTGCTTCAAATATTTTGCATTTTTCCTCATCAGGAGAAGAAATATCGAGGTCACGATAACTGTATTTCTACATCCGCTATAGATTATACATCAATTCGACCATCAATTCATCTCAAACTGTTATTTAATGTTGCTAAAAATCAGCTTCACCAGCCACATTTTTTCATTGTTTATCTAATTATTCTATTCAATATTACAGACAGATTAAATTAACGCCATGAAAGAGCATTTGAAGTTTTAAATTACACTAAATTCACGTGGAAGTCAAAACCACTCATATTGTCGATATACAAGTGGAGATAACTTGCGCGCTTCAACTCAAATTAATCTCATTTTAGCTAAAATTATAAACTATGCAAAAGCTTAAATTATATATAAACGACAAATGAGCTATATTAGTGCATTAATGAATAGTCTTATGAGCTCTACGAGCGATTTTACAGTTGAGAATATCGAAGGAATGCGAGGCGGCAGTTTGAATCAAAAAACTTACTCTCATCCGCACTTCATAATCCGTGTATCGCTTCTTTCCAATTCCTTTTGTCTCGGGATTGATAACATCGATCTCTAGGACGTTAGCAGGCACAGCGTAGGCGTCGTCGAGGTTTTGTTTTTTGAATTCTAGCCGTTTTGTGTCGGGTCTGGTGGGTTCGCTCGACTTCTGCGCCATCTTGGATTTTGGATTCTTGAACATCCTGTCAATACTATGCACGTGACCTAAGAGGGACCTCCCGGGACATTCATGAAACAATACCCTCTAAAAAATCTAAAATCTTTCCCAAAACTCCCCCAAAAACTTACTAAAAACTAAAAACATTCCATAATAACGAAATATTTCTATGCATAGAATAATAATAATAGTTAATAGTTGGGATCCCATATGGAACGGGATCTGGGATTCGCCTTTTTGGCTTGGAAAATGGGAGTTTTATGCACTGGGAATTGGATTTACCAACAAACCAAACAAAAATAAAGAGAAAACAATCAAAAAATAAGAATGGGATTGGAAAAATGGTTTAAACATGGGCTGCGATTATTGCATTTTATTTAATGGGGGCCGGGAAATGGGATGAGGACCTCCTTTTAGGCCTCTCATAAATGTGATGCTACCGTTTGTCTACCCATCAAAAATTTAACAATTTGAGTATAACTTGCAATTTAGCAGATCTTTTAATTAGAAAATTAAAACTTCAAGAAATAAAAATTTCGTAAATTTTAGGAATGAACTGGGACATTTATGGATGGGTGTGATAGGAAAGTAGTGAAAGTGTCCCTAACCTCTTAAAAACTGGAAAGCAACAACAAATATTCTTTTCAGGAACTAAGACTCACTTTTCTTGAGAATAATCACATTGAAGACAATTAAAAGCAAGTTTTTTTAAGTTTCGGGTTAAAAACTTTAAATAGGAAAATAGGACATGATGAAAGATAGTTACTGAGCACTTCATAAATGTAGGTCCTTAGTAACACAGCTACTAGTGCCAGTCCCTTGAGACGCTCAAGTTGTTTTGTTTTGAAAAACTTAAAAAATGGCGATAAAAAGCCTCCCAGAAAACCCTTAATTTATACCGAAAAAGCATCACAAATAGATGTGTAAATTAGAGAAAAACTACCTCAAGAGTAGATTTAACTATCGATGACTTGTTTGTGAGAAAATATGCCTCCAAAGAAGAAAGGAAAAGGGAAAAAGTCCGGCAAAAAATCAGGAGGGAAGAAGAAGAAAGGTAAAAAGAGTGGTGTCGTTAAAGAACCTAAACTGACTGCCGAAGAAGCCATCCTTCAGTTCCAGTGAGTATCATTGATTCTAGTAATGAACAATCGGGGGTTTTGCTTTCATTTATGTTTAGTTCCGTTAAGTAAATAATCCATGACTGGAAGTAGTCGACGCGACTTGACTGAGAGAGTTGGAGGGGGAGGGGTACTTGCTATATTTTACTAAAAGTTTGAAGAAAAAAATAAGATTAAATAATTCAAGGATTTTCAAATTTAGGCAAGGGCATAGGCTGAATCCCATAGATGCTTTTAGCTTGGGCACAATATTTAACATTTTCCCATTTCAAACCATCATTCACTAAAGTATTACATGTATTTCTTTGTTAACGGTTGCACATGAGAAGACACATGAATATAAATGCAGTGCAAACAAAAAATCTTATTCTCAAGAAAATGATAAATGGTGTGGAAATTATGAGAAAACATTAAGCCAAAGCTAAAAGGGGCTATTCAGAAGCTAGTTGCAGAATTTTCTTCCAATTATCTACAAATTTGGAAAATATGTAATCACATGTTCTAAATAATGTTGCTCATTTTCCCTATAGTTCTGAAATTTTCCTGTTTTCACCTATGTTTAAGATTTACGAACAGGCAATGGACGTTTCATGTGATTGCAATTATATTTTAAACAGGATTGAAATAAAAGAGAGATCAATAGAAGACATGTTATATGAACTAAGAGTATTGAAAGAAAAGAATGATAGACTAAAAGAAAGAGTAAGTGAATTTTAGGCATGTATACCACACCTACTGTTAAGGCTGGTTTAGACAGTATGACTTTCGCCTACAACTATCGTATACAACACACTCGCCTCTGTCGTAGGCGAGTTGTAGGCTTGATTTACGCACTACGACTTGAGTTGTAGGATCACAGGTACAAGTGTGTTGTATACAAAAGTTGTAGGTGAAAATCATACCGTCTAGACAGGCCTTTAGGCCCACTGGTTGTTTGGGCAGTACTGGCCTGCTGTGCTGGAGGTTGTAGGTTCAATGACCTCTGCCCAGACCAACACTCAAGGTCTTGAAATATTTGGATACAGTACATGTAGAAGGTGCTGCCTTTGCTTTAAGAATATCTGCAAATGGTTAGACCTTTATTTAACAAATAAAACACCCTTTTCCGTGCTCAGGTCAGTAGTACATCATATGCATGCAGAAAGCACTAACAGGACTCAAGAAGAGTGAGGAGCACTAAGTTGCCTACAAACAGCTTTTTTCTTGCTTAATACTTCACTTCCTACATGCTGAATTGCTGAACAGTGCATAGAAAAGAAGCTGTTGTTTCATCATATACGTAGTAAGAAAAGAATTGCTGTCAGTAGTTTTCAATTCTTTTGTCTTACACTATTTTTTCAATTTTATTTAAACATATTTTGTCGTTACATTAACCCCAAGAGCATAACGCTCATCGAAGGGGTCTATGTACACTATTTTGCAACATGGATGGATTCAGCAACCTGTTGTTCCATTCACCTAATAAAGCATAGTTCTCGACCAATCAAAGCATGCATACCATACCATCTAATCTATATAATACTAATATTACATCTTCTCCTTGTAGAATAAGCGCTTGAAAGAAGAACAGCTAACCCACATAAAGAACTTGCTCAAACTCTCCAAAGATAAAGAGAAAGAAGTTGAAAGCGTTGTGCAAGTCAACAGAGAACAAGTTGAACAAGCACTCCTCAGCAAATTTGACTTGAAGAAATCTGAAGCGAAAGAAGTTGAAGGTACATAGTTTAATAACTCAGAAAATCAATGGTGATCTATTGAAAAGTTATTAGGAGTTAAGGGTAGTGTTGTGGTTGTGCAAAGCGCAAAAGTATAACCACATTTAATGTATTTGCATACCTCTATGTACTACTGGCTTTATTTTGCTGTGAAACAAGCTCTTACAGACCTTATTTGCTAAAACCAGCCAGCTTTGCATCAAAAAGTGTTGGTGTAACGTACACAAACCTGTGCTTAAAAGTATGAATGAATTATTGCTGGTCATGCTTTTGCACATTGTGCTGTAACTCCCCATTGACTCCCATTTAAATACATCAGTCCTAGCTGTGCAACAGTGCTTTAATTTTGAATGGTTGCACATCTTTTGTATAGATTYTGGCTTGCAGTAGAATAGCCAAAAAAATTTTAAAAGTGTAATTAGGATTTTCTCATCTATTGCAGAAAAAATACAAGAAGTAAAGTCAATTGAAGAAAAAATAGAAGATGTCAGAGTTGAAATCAGGAAGCGACAAGAATATAAAGTAAGTACATCAGTATGCATTCCTTGTTGTCAGGATTCATTGCATTTGTGAGGTTAGGGGTTCAATTATTTGACTCAAAACATGTGAGTAGAATTTGTTGACTGATCCCTACCTTGATAAAACTATGAAGCTATGCACAGCACTGAGACTGCTTTGGTGTGTGTCTATAACGACATTCTTCAATCAGTTGATGCTGGCAACTGTGTTATTCTTATTTTCCTTGATATGTCAGCTGCCTTTGACACAGTTGTTCATGATACTCTACTTGATAGACTTGCTTATCGGTTTGGAATTGGTGATGTTGTGTTAAGCTGGTTTAGATCCTACCTTTCTAACAGGAAGCAATTTGTTGATATCAATGACTGCTCATCCTGCCTTGTTAATCTCGATGTTGGAGTTCYGCAATGCTCCGTACTGGGCCCTATTCTTTACTTGCTTTACACCTCTCCACTGGCTGACATTGTTAAGCGACACAATCTTAACTATCATTTCTATGCTGATGAT